CAGGATTTTGCTTGCGTGTGATATTGATGATATCATTCAATAACTTCCATGCTCTGTTGGGTCACCTTTTTTTGGAGTGAGACTAAATATGGATCTATTCCAGTCAGTTGACCAGGTAGTTGCCTCCAGATTTTTTGAAACAACCTGGTGAGCATGTCCAGGGCAGCACATCTGTTTGTTGAAATATATCATTGGTATTCCATCAATTCCTTGGTTTTTTTGCCAATTCCTTCAGAGCAACTTGAACTTCCCCCTTTATCACCATTGTCTCTAGAACATAAGTTGTTTCCTGAAATACGTCTGTGTCAGCCAGTTCTTCTTGGTACAGTGACTCCCTGTATAGTCTACATTACCTAATCCACTCAAGCACTCAGCAATGTTAATGTTATCCCCATTTTATAGATGAGTAGACTGAAGGAGAAAAGGCCTTTGGTCACAGGTGACAGAGCCTGGATTCTTAGTTAACTGTCTCTCATTTCTACTGCCTCCCCAAAGGCATGCCGAGATTCCTGTGGATAACCCAACTTGGCACAAGTGTGTCTGAGCACTAACAGATCTGGACTAGCACTACTTACAAAACAGAAAGTCTGTAGGTGAAGGGCATGCTGGCCACTCACTTGGAAACTTCTAGAAATGCCTTGGCTGGACAGCTAATGGAGAAGTAGTAGTGTGTGTATGTCCCAGCGCGTCAAACGCATAGCTGCGCTGTGCCACGTCACATGCTCTGTCCTGAGGGGCATGGGCCACGATGGGGGAGCTGGAGTCCCACTATGCCTGGGTCCCCACTGCCCTGAGGACTGAGTATGGAGGCCAGGTAGCTGGTGAACACACCCAAGAATCACTGTGGCCTTTCCCACTGAGGTACTGGCCAACTCCTTGGGGCTCAGCGATGTGGCCAAGGTTTCTGCTGGAGTATTGGGTGGGCAGCGTGCCCCATTTCCTGGCCCTCACAGTGACCTCTGGGGTAAGGGTCCCACAGCGGGGCTCTTAGCACCCCCCCCCTCCTTAAAGGACAAGCCAGCACCTATGTGTCTGTCTTACTGGCATTTTCTTAGACAACTGAGATTTGGATGAAGAAAGCCAAAGGCAGAGGCAGAGTTGAGGAGGACACACCCTGAAGGAGATCCCGTCCTCCACAGCTCCAGTGGAGTCAGGAGCAGACAGAGGGCAGAGGGCAGAGGGCAAACCACCATATGTGGACTGGATGAAGCAGCCGGCATGAGGCAGCGGGGACACGTCCTGGAAGAGAAGGCTCCGCAGCCGGTTTCTTGTTCTGCGAGGGTCCCAGGGTCTGTCTGCCTCTCTCGTGAAGCCTGGTGGCTGGGATCAGGGGAGGATGCCCCCAGGCTCCCCTCTGGCCTCCTTTCCTTCCCTCAGGAACGTGTCTCTGGTGAAGAACGTGGAAGCTTCTGGCAAGTACACAGTGTGCTACACCGACCAGGGGACACAGGGCCAGCTGCGCCAGATGCTCGCCCACGCCAGAGAGGAGCCCATGTAGGTGACCTGTCACGCCCCCGAGAACAGGCCGGCTCTGGAAGGGACAGAAGCTGGCCCTGCAGACTCCAGAGCTGTGTGCTGACCTGTCTCAGCGGGCAAGGCTTCCAAGCCCACCACCTGTAGAGGGCACAGAGGCTGGCGTGAGGCCCCTCGTACTGTCTTGATGCGCCTGGGGGCTGTGCCCTCCTCGGCTATACCCCACCGACTCGTCCACTAACAAGTGCCTGGTGACCGTCACCCATGAGGCCCTGTCCTGGGGCTGTAAGGAGAGCCTCCCAGATCGATCTCTTCCTACCTGCCCCCCCAAATTACCTGTGTGACCTCAGAATTCACATCAGCTAAACAGGCAGAGAAACATTTGTCCTTTGTGGCCAAGTGCTAAGAACTGCTTGCTGTTCCCGTGATCCAGAACCATATCCCGCTGGGAGGAGCCAATGGTCCTCACAGCCGCCCCAGGGCCCCTGAGAACCCCTCCCAGGTGCTGGTACCCTGAGTCACCAGAGGGTCCCACGAGGGTCAGCTCTCCAGGAGATGGGTGCAGGATGCTGAGGAAGAAAGCTTCTCCCGTACCCCAAGGAACCCCAAGCCCTGGTGATACACCAGCTGTACCACCTGGGTGTGATCAGCAAGGATATCCCTTAAGTGTAGGAGAGGGGGGGTGTGCAGGTACCCTGAGCTTTCTCTCCTCACACGGCCGATGGATCGGCTCAGGGCTGCTCGCCCCGGGCCTTGGGTCACCCGGAGTGGCGGGTGGTGGGCTCCATCAGTGACCGTGGTGACCAAGGACGCCCCCCCAGCCCCTGATCACTGATTGGGTCTTTACTTCAGCATGCTTCCGGCTCTCATCCCCAAAGCCCTCAGGGCCACGGCGGCCACCGAGGCGAAAATGGCCCTTCGGCTGAATGTGGGTAAGGATAGTGCCCTGAGTCCTCCAAAGCCCCTGACTCTGATGAGGCTGTCAGGACTTGGCCACTGGGCCCTGGAAGAGACACCCCTGGCCTGCAGGACGGGTGCTGGGCGTGGGCTGGAGGCCACACACTCGAGCGTGTAAACCGACCTTAGCCCAGCCAGCATCCGAGCTGAGGGCCACATTATCCAGCTGAGGGTCCCTCCCCCATGTCTAGGGAGCATGCAGCCTCTTACTTGCATGATCTTGTGGAAAGGAGCCCTGGTGGTGTAGAGCATTCTGAGTTGAGCTACTAACTGAAAGGTCGTTGGTTCGAATCCACCAATCACTCTGAGGGAAAAGCTAGACATCTGTAAAGAGCGTTTCCATGACTTCACGTCAGCCCCACAGTGGTGGGTTTGGGTTGATCAATTGGAGGTCTCTCTTGCACAGCCCACTCCCAGAGGCCGCAGGACGTGGACCGCCTGGCCTTCTTCCGCAACGTCACGCTCCGGCTGCAGCAGCTGAGGCCCCCCAGCTCCCTGGCGGCCAGTCCAGCGGCTGAGTGGTGGGTGGTCCAGGAGTGGCGGCCAGCCTGCAACGAGAACCGTGGCTGCAGCCGGGACCTGGAGCTCCTGGTCTACAATGACAAAGTGAGCCCTCAGAGCCTGGGCTTCCTCACGGGGTACGGGTAAGTCCATCGGCCAGAGCCACCAGCCCCAGTGTTCCCTGAACTGCCAGTGACAAGCTGGTTGTCCAGGTTCACTGAGTCAAGTCAGTTCCCCCTCTTCCCTGCTCTTGCATGGGGCCCAGGTGAGACCAGCCTGCCTCTGCCCCAGGTGTGTGCCAGGATTGCCAGGAGGGACCCAGGTGGTGCTGCCTGAGGCCAGTGGCCAGCATGCTGCAGGCTGTTCTGGGCCCAGGCGGCTGCAGGGGTCTGACTGGGCCCCTGCCCTCCCCAGCATCGTGGGGCTGTACGTGTCGGTGGTGATGGTGGCGGCCAAGTTCATCCGAGAGCACTTCCACAGCATCTCCCGCTCCATTATGTTTGAGGAGCTGCCCACTGTGGACCGTGTGCTGGGCCTCTGCACCGACATCTTCCTGGTGAGGGAGCTGGGCGCCCTGGACCTGGAGCAGCGCCTCTTCAACAAGCTGCTCTTCCTGTACCGCTCCCCTGAGACCATGATCAAGTGGACGCGTGCGCCCCCGAGACCCCACCAGCCGTCCCCGGACCCTGCTGCCAGCGCTCCAGCGGGGCTATGGGAAGCAGCCTGAAGTTGGACGCCAAAGCCCTTTGGCCATTGGGGAAGTGGAGCATCTGGCTCACCCCTTGGTCCCCACGTGCTGGCACCCAGACCAGGCGGGTGCTGCAGCTGGTCACCAGCTGGTCACCCTGAGGCCAACACTGTGCCCACACAAGGGACACTCCTCCTGCTCCTTGACCCTCATCGTGCCTCCACGAGGCGCCGTCTTGCTGGCAGCGGGGCGGGAGTGGCGGACAGTGCCAGCTGCCCCATATGAAGCTGGGCCACACTACTGACCTCGCCCGGCTAGGCGTCTCAGAGGAGAGCTGGCGAGAGCCACCAGGCTCACAGTCATTAAACTGCCCGATGACCCACATTGCCCTCAGCTGCCCAGCGGCCTTTGCCCATCGTCAGGTGCCAGCAGTGTTTTCTGGACCAGGAGGCACCGGTGTGTGCCGACCTGGGCCTGTTCTTGCCTCTCCAGCATGTGCACACAGCAGGCAGTTAATAAATGTTTGCAGAGGGCACGGCCCAGGTGGGGTTCTCTTGAATTCCGGGAACTGTAGGGGTGCAGGGCACAGCCCTGGACATGTTCCTGCAGCGTCAGCGGCCACACCCCAGCCTCCTGCCCGTATGGAAGGGAAGACCAGATCTTCCCCAGCATCCAAGGACCCCGGGACAACTGTACTCCTCACTTGGGGCCGAGATGGGGGCTGCCCCAGATTCTGGCTGGGCTCTGGGGTAACAAGCATTGAGTCAGCACCCCAACATCACCATGGCCTGTCCTGTAGGGTAGCACCCGCCCCCAAGCTCTGCTGGGAGACCAGCACCCCTGTCTCCCCGCAGGGGACGGGAGGCGTGAGTTGGAAGGACCCAGCCTCCACTTGGCCCAACGCCCAAAGAGCTGAAGTCAGTGCGCAGAGGCCCAGTGCCTGCTCTCCCAGCTCTGAGCCTTCACCTGTATACACAGCCAGACCCTTGAGGTGAATCCCAGAGACACCTCCCCCCACCTTCAGCCCCTGCTGGGGGAGAGGAGGCTGCCCTGAGGGGGGCAGTGTGTGGAGGGGGAAGCGTCGAAGTGTCATTTCCTAAACCCTCAGAAGTTAGGAGACAAATGGAGAAACTGCAGTGGGGTCCCCTCTGCCCTGGAGTTCCTCAGACTGGGCCCTCAGAGGCTAGGCCACCCTCCCCTCCAGCTCATGGGTCCAACCCTGTTCTGAGACCTCAGAACAAGCCATTCCCATCACCAAGACAGAGACCAAACACATCCAGCCCAACTCAAGGAATAATCTTTAATCATCTTTTAAATTTATCAGTGCAAAATGAGGTAAGGGCGGGGCCGGGCGAGCCGGTGCCCCATGGCCCGGGGGCTGTCACACCAGCCTGCGCCTCTTGGAATCCCGCTCAGCGTCCTCCAGCTGCGTGCTGGTCTCACTGCCCAGCGGGGACACCAGGTTCAGCAGGGGGTCCTCGGAGGCCTGGCCGAAGAGTGCCAGCAGAAAGGCCACCCCAAAGCCCGTGGCCCGCTCTCCCTGTGGGCAGAGGGCAGGGTGGCAGGGCGGGCCAGAGTGCCTACCCCTCACCTCAGGGACCTTCTCAGTCCACCCTAAGGCCTCACCAAACCGGGGACCACAGGCAGGGCCCCGGGGATGTGACTGCCCTCCTGGACCTCGCTGAGGTCTCCTAGCTCCAGACCTGCTGCTGAGAAAAGGAATCCACAGCAGCTCCTCTGTTCTCCAGCAAGAGACCAGAGGTCGGGAGACCACAGCTCGCCGGAGACTGGGCCACAGGCAACGTGACCCACCACACATAAAGTTTCCAATGACCTCAGCCTGCAGCTCCAGGGCCAGAGAGGGGCTGTGAAAGGATGGCTGGGCAGACGCAGGAGTGGGTGGGCCCTGCCCAGGCTGGTGGAGGGGTGGGGGTGGGGAGGCAGAGTGGACACCTGGGCAGAGGGCGGACCATGGGGCCTAACAGGGAGGAGGGGAAGGGCACCCACAGTGGGCAGGGGGCGCTCAAGGCCGCTGGCAGCTGGGCAGGGCCTTGGCCACTCACAGCATGTACAGGAGCCGCAATGTCCAGGTGGACCCAGACTCCAGGCCAGTCAAAGCCGATGTGGGCAGCGATGAAGAGGCCGGCGCAGGAGCTAGGGCTGTTGTCCCGGTCCTGGGAGAGCAGGTAGATGAGTGGCAACACCTTAACCATGGACCCCAGATGCCTGGGTTCCTCCCCACAATGCAACCACCTCAGCAAAGGGTCTGATGCGGACTCCAGAGCAAAGAACCCCGGGGATTGGTGAGGTGCTGGAAGGGAGCTGGGGGTACATCCAGGCCACCCCCTAGGAGGCACCCTCTGGGCCCCAGACTTGCGTGCCAGGCCCACTCCCTGTGGCCACCTCACAGCTACCCAAAAGAACCATTAGAACAGCCCTGGGAGCACTTCTCCTGGGTCCCTTGCTGCTTCTCTTTGCCTGCCTCGTGTCCACTTCACGACCCTGTGGCCACTCTGTGTGGTCTGTGCACGCTGCTTCAGGCCCACCTCCTGTCACCCCTTTCCCTGCTCCAGGCTCGCCTGGGTCCCACTCAAGGCCTGTGCCCTCCCAGCGGCCCCATCTGCCCTCTCTCCTCGCGGTACCTCTTCCCGCTGCCCTCCTCCGCCCCGCAGCCGCACACCCACCGCCACGGAGTTCTTCATGTCAGCAACGGCCGAGGTGAACTCGCTGAAGTGTAGCTCAGGGCAGTAGACCAGGGGGTGCACCAGGTCCCCGCATTTGCGCCCAGCAGTCACGCAGGCCGTCTCCCACTCGGCGCAGTTGGTGAGCACAGCAGCGTGGTGCTTCCCGGTGGCGATGCCCTGCACAGGGGGCAGTGCATCAGGGTGTGACGGGATGGGCATGTCTTGCACGCCATGTCCCCCCCCAACATGGCCTGCCCCCCACCTGCGCCCCGGTCAGTGTGGCCATGTCCAGGATGATGTCTGCGCCCAGGTCCTTAGAGGCGTAGGCCACGCCGTCAGCCAGCACCAGGCGGCCCTCGGCGTCCGTGTTGTTGATCTCCACAGTCCTGGGGGCAGATAACAGTCAGCAGCAGCTCAGGGATTTGGGTGAACCCCACCAGGGCAGATGTGATCCCCCCACAACAATGCAACGTAGGAGTCAGGGGGCAGCTGCCCAGCCTGAGAGCTCGATTCCATGGGGCATCCCAGGGCTGTGCTGCCCAGCAGTACCCGACCCGGAAGGCTTCGAGAAAGTAAACCCAGCAAGCCCAAAGCCTGGACAGGCCTGGCTGCTGCCCGGAAGATGGGGACCACCAAAAGTCCCTCTTTCCCAACAGGTGTCCTGAGTCGCTGGGCTATTCCGAATCCCTGGTGTAGGGTGTCTCCGCATGGGGCCTGACTTGGACCTAAAAGCACCCCAAAAGTATAGAGTGCACAGGGTGCAGGCTGGAAATGGGTGTACCCTGGAAGGGGAGGGGCCTGAGCCAGGTGGAGGCAGAGTGTCTTTGTCTAGTGGGGCGGGGCCAGGCCAGCAAGGGGCGGGGCCCTGTCAGTCAGAGGCGGGGCCATCATACTTTCCTGAGTACAGCAGGTGAATGTCATCTGGCCTCGTGGCATTGGGCCCTACGGCATTCTCCGCCAAGCAGAACACAGCATGGAGGTTGTCCTTGAAACCCTGGAGGGGAGAAGGGGCAGGGGCATCGGTCATGTCGGGGCTGACGGGAAAGGCTCTGACCCAGCGGACAGAAGAAAACAGGCAGAGCTGAGCGTCGGGCCCCTCCACCAACGTGGGGTGGGCCATCAGCACCCTCTACACGTGCTGACAACTTTCTCTGTGGTCACCACAGAGGGGAGAGAGTGCACGAGTAAGTGTTCAGGGAACCAAGCAGAAAGGTACCTTGGGGAGTGTCAAACTGGCTTCAGAAATAGAAGTGGTAAGAACCAAAAATCCAGAAATAAATCCAGAGATGAAGTTCATTAAATGGGAGGAAAGATGGCCTCTTTAAACAATGATACTGGGGGGGGGGGACAGACAACTATTTATTGGCTGGAAGTTGAAACAAGATCCATACCTTACACCATAAACAAAAACCAACTCAAAATGGACCAAGTAAAACCTGAAGCTATAAAGATCGAAGAAAAAACCAGGCACTCCGTTGTTGTTGTTGTTGTTGTTGTTATGTGCCATCAAGTCACTTGCAACTCATAGTGACCCCACGTACAACAGCCTTAAACCCTGCTCTAGTCCTTGCCAATGTTGTCTCCGACACACCTATCCTCATCACCCCATTAATCCACCTCATCGAGGGCCTTCCCCTCCTATGCTGTCCCTCCACCCTCCCAAGCATGATGTCCCTCTCCAAGGACTGGTCCCACCTTGCAACATGCCCAAAGTATGTCAGAAAGAGCTTCAGAATCCTTGGGAGCCCTAATCTACGGCATAACGAGACTACCAAACAGAAACAAAAATGTACGTTCCGCAGAGGATACTCTAGATGACTGGGGAAAATGAAATCCTCATTTACATGGAAAGACTTCTCCAAAAGCCTGGGACGGGGAAGAGGAACCTACAGACTGGGAAGAACATGTGGCAACGACTTATCTAACAAGGAAGGAATCAGTCTCGAAGATTCACAGAAAACGCCAACATCTCAATGAGAAAAAGGAAAACGAGCCAGTTACAAAACGAGCGGTGGACACGAACAGATAGTTCAGCCCAGAAAACACTCAGAAGGCCAACAAGCCCATGGGGGCATGTGGCGTCAGGTGCCATCAAGTCAGCGAGGACTCACAGCAACCCAGCGAACAAGGGAGGGAATCTGCCGTGTCCAGGGCCCTCCCGTCGCCTCTGCTACACTTGAGGCCGTTGTTAGTCACCGTGTCAACCCATCGTGTGGAGGGTCCTCCACCTTCCCCAGCAGGATCGACTTCTCCAAGGACTGGCCCCTCCAAACAACATGGTCAAAGCATGTGCATCACAAGCCCTCCTTTCCTCCCCCAAATACAGCTGCTGAATTGTTTGACTCAGAGTGTGCCTGCACCGGGCTTCTGAGGCTGTAAATCTTGATGGGAGGAGACCACCCGGGGTGATTACTAGACTCTAACAACTGACCTTGCAGTCCCCGCACAGCACAGCTGGTGTTAAGGGTTTATTGTTCAAAATGGCCTTCCGAGCCATTGGCTTTGACATTGCCACTTCGACGGGCAGGAATATGTTAGTAGAGTGTGAAGGCCTATCCATGAGGGGACTGGCTAGTCTCGCCACTGAGTGGCAGATTTCAGAGTCTCGCCACCAGCAAAGAAGAAGGTATGCGGTGTGCGCCTTTTGCGGCCAGAGATTCCTGATCCAGCCAGACTTACAGCAGCGGCCGTAGAGACCAGACTTGAGATGGAGGGGGCCTTGGGACTGCTACTTGCCACGGAACCAGAGCTAAGAGCCTTGGCCCACATGTGTTGAAGGATCTGTGGGGTGGGGGGAGCCCTAACTGGCAGGACTGAGAGCTTGTTAACACTGGACTAAAGCTGTGAGGCTCAAGGCTGAGGTGACGCTGTCCTGAGTAACTGTATTCTGCTACTAACTTGATTTACAGCCTTTAGAGTTTCCTAATATGGTTCTGTGTGGTCTGTGAGCTATTGAATCAGATTTTGGACCCAGTAAACCAGTAGATTGGTGTTGGGGTGAGAAGACAGAGGGGTGGGACACGGGGGACATGTCTGACCTCCTGGGAATTGGTTTTGTGCTGCTGGGCTTGTTGAGGGGGAAAGCTGCCCTTTGTGAAGTTGGTAAAGGTCAGGTACGGCTGTTCCCACATACCCCTTGCTCTTTTTGGAGCACCTAACATCCTAGGCTACCAGGGCTCCTTAACAAATCAAAGTGCCTGATATCGTACAGTGTGGCATTCACAGGTCTGGGGGTTAGGACTTACACATAAACTGTTGGGAACACAATTCAATCTGGAACATCAGCGAGGGGGCTCGGACACTTGGCCACTGGGATGCCTGCGTGGTTTCTCCACCATAACTGGGTGGACATCTGGTCTCACTGGGTCTCCAGTCATTACCCTCATGTTTGCCAAGGGCGATACTGCACTTCCTTCACCCCTCTGATCAACTGGAAGTTCATCGTCTGAAACCGTTTTCTTCCCCCACTTCTTTATCCACTTGGAGATTTATTTATTCAGGTTCATGGCGTCATATTTTCATTCTCCAGGTTGTAATCTAGTAGTTACTTCTTTCTCGTCCTTTTTAAGGGCTAAGTAGGACCTGTGACCACGGTGAGTTTGGGGCCTGTGGTGTGGGACCAATCTTCATCCAGCACCATAGTGGGGTGGGGTCCCCTATATCTGCAGACAGCACACTGTAGCACCCTGCAGTGGGATTTGTGGTGGACAGTGAATAAGGATGACAGAAGAATTGATGCCTTTGAGCTGTGGTGTTGGAGAAAAGCACTGAACATCCCACAGATGACCAAAAGAACAGATATTTCTTGGAGAGGGTGCAGCCAGAGTGCTCTTTGAAGGCAAGGGTGATGAGGCTTCGCCTCACATACATTGGGCATGTTGCTAGCTGAGGCTATTCGTTGGAGAGGGACATGGTGCTGAGGAGGGTGGAGGGATGACAAAGGAGAGGAAGAACCTTGACCAGGTGGAATGACATGGTGACTGCTGCAATGGGCTTGTGTGTGTCAGGAAGTGTGAGGATGGCGCAGGATAGAACAGGGTTCAGATCTTTTGTTTACAGAGTTGCTATGAGTTGTACGCAACTCGATGGTACCTATCAACAATAACAACAACAAATTCATGTAACTGTAAAGTGACCCCCGTCTGCAGGGACTAGAGGCCCGTGCTGACCTGCTGTAAGTCCTCAGCTGCACAGCCAGGTGCCAGGACAGCTTGGCTCATCCAGGTGCTCTAGTCACGTACCTCAAGAGGAGTGGTCGGATCAATCTGGGTGCTCGCTGCACCCCAGAAGCCTGGATGAGCTGAGCCCCAACTCCTCTGGGGAGGAAAGGCAGCAGCCACCTTCTGACCATCGGCCCAGATCTCTGTGCATCTGTCCTGGTGCTATGTCCCCTAAGAAGCCTGGCCCCAGGGACAGGGACACCTCTGCCAAGGCAGCTGACATTCAGCAAAGGTTTCCCTCGAGCTAACAGGAAGGTTCCTCAAGGTGGGGAGCAGCCCCTCCGGGAGAGCCACGTGCACCACCCAGGCTGGCACCATCCTCCAGTGACCACTCATTGGATGGGGAGGAGCTGCCCCCAGCCCGCCACTCCTGCCACCCCCGCATGTCCAGAACCTTCATCCCTGGACAAGTGCTGACCAGGTGCTGGTTCAGGGACTCGGTGCCCCGTCTGTGAACACAGGGTCGGAGCTTCAGCCCCAGAGAGCATGCACCTCCTCACTCATTACAGGGTGCTCCCGCCTCTCCCAGAGCACACAAGACGGGGAACCTCAAAGTCACCACCAGCAGTTCCTGAAACTGGGGCTCCCCTTCCTCAGAAGTCTGGCTCCCAGGGTTGGGCCCCTGACACCCCTCGATTTCCCTTTCTAACTAAGCCCCATGAGCACTATGCTTAGGAGACCCTGTTCGAAGTGGGGCCCTGGGATCTTGGGAAGACCTCCCGCCTGCCTCCTGGAGGGGTTCCTGGATGGTGATTGTGGCTGGGTGGACAGGTCCCTGGGCATGGGAGGCATGGCTCCTCTGGCCTCAACCCTAGCCAGTCCCTCCCAGGCCCCACTGGGAGAGAGCCGACAGGCTGCCAGCTTCCGGCTGGACCTGAGGAGCTCCAATGGTGCTGGTCAGGGGCCGTGATTGACAGGACAGACGCTCCTCACCTGTCTGACAGTGGCTCGGAAGGCTCCCAGGATGGCAGCGGCCCCACCACAGTCCCGTTTCATCCCGGGCATGGTGGTCTAGAGGGAAGAGGAAGGGGTCAGTGTGCACTGCTGAGACCAGCCTACAAACACCTATGGAGCCCGATTCATGCCCACAAAACTCAGGCCTCCGCCTCACACCATGGCCAACATCATCTTCCTCCATGAAGGTCCCTGTGTCACTCACCCCCACAAGCCTCTGGCTCCCCACTGTCCTCCCAGGACGAGCCATCTCCTCCCTCTAGCACCAAGAACCTGCAGTCACCATCTGGCCTTTGACCATCATCCACCTTCAGCAGCCCAACCACCACCACGTCACCTTGGTGTTGTTGACATTTTCCCAGCCCCTGTCCAGGTCTGATCTGGCCCCTCCCCTGCAGAGGTAAACGCTTTCACCTCTAAGTGAGTCCAGGGCAGTTACTCATGTTGACATGTCATTGGTCCCCAAGTGTAGCTGACAAGCCTGGCCTGGGCTTTACATTAACGGCAGGTCATCCATCAGGAGTGAGGATATGATTTGGGACTCACTGAGTGACTCCTGAGCCCTTGTAACATCCCACGAGCCGCTAATGTCAGCGGAATGGATTTTTAGTTATACACTAAGCTGTTTTTACAATTAAGCCTCAAGTGAAAACTCTCCATCCAGCACCACTGGAAGCAAGCCAGCACCCCTGACCTAACGGCTGAGGAAGACGGCTTCGCTCAGGCGGGCAAAGGGGCCAGGGGTCTGGACCAGGGGCTACGGGAGGAGCCTGCAGAGAGACGGCTGGGAGGGGCCGCTCGCTCTGCTGTGCTCCCACCTCGAGTCGATTCAACTGCGTTCTCACAATCAAGAGTCCAACCTGCAAACACAGCTCCTCTGGTTCTGTTCCAGGAGCACGGCGATGTGCACCGTAATTATCAGTTAGCTGCCACTGAGCCTCGTGGAAGGGCTCTCTGGTCCTGCAGCACCTTCTCTGTCACGGGCAGTCTGCTTGAAGCCATGGGAGCTACTGCGGACGTTGAGAGCATCCCAACCCAGCGGCTCACCCTCCAGCAGCATCTCCCACAGTACTGCAGTGTGGTCCGTGGGGCTTTCATTGGCTAATTTCAGAAGCAGATCCCCAGGCCTTGCTCCTAGTTTTAGTCAGGAAGTGCCAATGGAATCTGTCCACCACGGGTGACCCTGCTGGCACAGGCCAACCTCAGATCACCACAAGAACGCAAATAATGCACCAGAGCGAACCACATACTTTCTTCAGCTCCCGAGTGCGCAGGACTACATCTCCGCATCGAGAAAACAAAAATTCTCATGCCTGGACTGAGAAGACAACATTACGATAGATGGAGAAAAGACTGCAACTGTCAATGATTTCATCTTACTTGGATCTACCATCAACACCCTTCATACCAGCAGTCAGGAGATCAGAAGACAGATTGCACTTGGACACGTCTGCAGTCAGAGTCCTCTCCAAATTACTGAGGAGCAATGATGTCCGTTCGAAGACTAAGATGTGCCTGATTTCAAGGCATGGTCCTTTCAATCACTTGTTATGCATCTGAATTGATGCCTTTGAGCTGTGGTGTTGGAGAAGAGTACTGACTAGCCCGTGGACTGCCAAAGGACATGCAGCCATGTCTCAGAGAAGGTGCAGCCAGGGTGCTCCTTGGAGGCAAAGATGCTGACGCTTCGTCGCACACACTTTGGGTATGTTGGCAGGAGAGATTTTTTCCTTGGAGAAGGACATCATGCTTGGGAAGGTGGAGGAACAGCAAAAGAGAGGAAGCCCCTTAACCACGTGGATTGAGGGCATTGGAGGTTGTGAGGACGGCACAGGACAGGAGAGGGCTCAGGCCTGTCCTTCACAGGGTCCCTATGAGTTGTACTCAACTCGATAACACCTAACAACAACCCAACCAAAGGGAGCGCTGATGGCTGGGCAACTCCGTCCTGTGTTGGAAAGCCTTGCAGGGGTCAGCTGTGAGTCAGGTCTGACTGGATGGCATCTAACCACCACCATCTAAACAAACCCTGTAGATAACAAAGAAAGAGACCAACACTTGTCAAGTTCTGGTGTAACAGCAAAGAATACTTGGCCCAGCAGATTGAAATGCTTCTCCGTTTCTCATCCACACACATGCAAGAAGCTAGAACTCCTTGACATGGTTCAGGTAAAACAGTCTATCACAACAGACTAAACGCAGTAGGGACAGTGAGAACCCAGTGGTCTCCTATTAAGACTGCATTGAAAGCAAGTTACAAAAATATGAAACAATGACGCTCTTCCCATTAAACTAGTTTTGGACTTGATAGTTACTTTTCACAGTTTTACTATCTGTGCTAACACACAACGGCTGTTAATGGTCTACCAGCTGTGAGTGTGGTACAGACGGGGCGGTGTGCAGTTCGGCTGTGAGATGGCGGTGAGACGGGACAGCTCCACAGACGACACTAACACACATGAGACTTATTTGAGAACCAGTTCCCAGCAGGGAGGAACCTTCCAGACTCACTTCCCATGTGGTTGTCATCTCTAAACATCTCCCAGAGATTCAACAATGGATTCAGAAGAAACGATGAAGCCATGGTGACTGTAAACACACCCAGGACCCGGGTTCTTGACCTTCTATGGACCTTGAACTTGTGTCGTGTTGGTCTGTTCATTTATTACTTCCAGAAACATTTGGAGACGGCTAGAATAGACGTCAAAGAACTGAAGACATGGAAGGTATTGCAATTTCTGGAGTCCATGGTGAGCTGGGAATTTTTCCTCTCTGCCCCATGAATCCTTTCATTAAAGACTTTCTAACCGCGTTGTCATGTGTGGAAACAACTACAAGATATGAAAATTCCTTCTGGTCTAAGAAGCTCCGGAGGCACAGGTGTTAAGTGTGCAGCCACTAACCAAAAGGTCACAGGTTTGAACCCACCAGTAGCCCTGTTGGGGGCAAGGCAGCAGTCGGATTTCACAAAAGTCACAGCGCTGGACACCGTGCAGGGCCGTTTTGCTCTGTCCTCCAGGACGCCTGTCTCGGCACTACCTCCAGATGCTCCGGCTGGCAGAGACGTCCTCCTCCTCCTCGTCTGTAGACGCTGCCGAGCCCGTCCTCACGGAACCGTGGACGCTTTGCGGCTGAGTGTCACCCGGTCTCCATCTCTCTGAACTAAACCACCCAGCTCTGCAGTCCGAGCCTCCGCGGCCGGGCCACACTTCTATCCCTCTCTGAGGCTTCTCTCCAGATCGTGTCCTGGATTTTGTTTCCAGACTCCTGGAAGTGTGACCACAAAACCATGCACAGCAAGTGGAACAGAATGCCCACAGCCACAGCCCGATCCTGAACGCATGCCACCCCTCAGCAATGCTAGATACGCGACAGTGCTGACCAGCCCTCATCGGCCATCTGACGCTGCTCTGTGATGCCTCGGGGTGCTGGCTGGACCCTTGTGCCCCCAGAACAGCCCACACCCCTGACCAGTCCTCACCTTGCCCTTGATGCTGAGGCCTCCAGTGTCATACACAATGCCCTTGCCAACCCATGCAATGGTCTGCGTGGCACCTTCTGGCATGTGGCTCAGGACGGCCAGAGCAGGTGGGTGCACAGCAGCTTTGCCAACACCGTAGATTCCTACAGAGAGAGGGACAGGCCTTAGACAGGAGTAAGTGGAGCTGGACGGGGGCTCACAGGTTCCCAAACATCCTGCTCTTAGTGCAGGACCTCAGACACCCCGCTGCTGGTCCACAGATCCCCAACGCTAGCCCTCAAACGGCTCACAGAACCCCCACTCCAATGCCAGGACTCGGTCCCTCACTGCCACCTGTGAGCGCTCCAGCACTGGACCCCAAGGCCCTCTGAGTGCAAGTCAGCATTGCCCCCAGCACTAACTGCCCCCAGCACTGGCTCACAGCCCCTCCCCCCATGGCCAGAACTGGGACCTCTCGGCCCAGCAATGGTCTGCAGAACTTCAGCACTGGGTTACAGAACCACTTAGAGAGGACTCCATACAGAACCCCCCAAAGTTGGTCTGCACACCCCCTAGCTCTGACCAGAGGACCCCCAGCCAACCCTGTAGACTGCTACAGAATGTCTCCAGTGCTGAGACTTGGGCAGCCCAGCCCACAAATCCCCGCCAGCCTAGAGACCTCTAGGCTGGTCTACAGACCCCCAGCCTGGCCCACAGGCCCCCAGCCTGGCCCACAGACCCCAGCCTGGCCCACAGGCCCCCACCCAGTCCAAAGACCTCCAGCCTGGCCCACAGGCCCCCAGCCTGGCCCACAGGCCTCCAGCCTGGCCCACAGGCCCCTAGCCTGGCCCAGAGACCCCAGCCAGCCCGCAGATCCAAGCTAGCTCATCTTCCAAGAGAACAGCTTCCTGGATGGGGGATCCCCTCCTCCTCCTGCCCCTGCCAGAACTGAGTTCAGGAATGCAAATTAGTTCCATCCCTCCGGGACCTCGAATGAATTCTATGCAAAGTACCGTTAGGCAAGAAAGCCTGCTGAGAAATAATACTGTATCATTTCCAGAAGAAAAAGAACAGCACTACAGGATAAAATGATTTCTGGATAGCACTTCAAGGCCGCCCCGGTCCATTCTCGGCGCCTCCACTGGGCCCTTCGAGAGACCATCCCCTCCCAGGCTCACTCCACTGTTCCTCTCTAGGCCTCTCTCTGCAGTTCACAGGCCTCATCAACTCGGAAAATGAGCCTTCCTGGTGCACAAGGCCCACGGCTCAAGACCCTGGAAGAACTGAACTGCAAACAGCAGCAGCTGTGCCCAGAACCAGCAATGGCCACCTGGCAAACTCCTACTCACCCTGCAAGACCCACCGTGAAGGTCACCTCTTCCATGAAGCCCTGCCCTCTCCCACCACTTGGAATCGGTTTGTGTGTCTATGGGAGGCAATTGCTAAGATAGTCACTACCTCTGGGAGGTCAATACTCCTAGCAAACTCATTTCTAACCTAAGTAACACAAAAGTGAACTTGGCTAATATTGCCTTTTGTGCTTCTGATCTACCTCCTAGTCACTGTGTAGTACCCAGGGTCTTTAACGCTCGTTAAAAGGCTATTCAAGGTACAAGGATGAGTCTCTTTTCTTCCAGAAGGTACTGTGGTTATGATATTTGGCTTCTCAGCAGTTCCAGCTCAGGAGGAGCTCACCAGGAGAGATGAGGCAGTCTGTATCCACGAAGGTTTCCAGCCTTGAAAACACTCAGGGATAGTTCTACTGTCTCTGACCGATAGGGTCCCCGAGAGTCAGAATCCACTCAACGGCTGTGGATGTGGCCAGAGAAGGAGAGTCAGGAACAGGAGGCGGAAATGGAATGTGAGGCTGACTGCCTGCAGGAACTACAGCCTCCTTAGACAGGAGGTCGCGAGGACTAGATGGTGCCCTGCTGCCATTACTGAACATTTTGATGAGACTCTAGAAGAATTCTGATCAAAAGGGGGAAAGAGCACAAACTGTGGAACAGAATTTCAAATTCCTACTTCCTGGAGCCACAGAAGCTGTGTCAAGTGCAAAATTATTGACCTAAGATCATCTTTAAACCTGATACCAAAATACTACCTGAAGTCTTTGACTACTAACTTAAGTCTTAAGAACAGCCATGGTTTGTTTAATTAATTAAGTTTGCTTAATTAGTTTGCTTAACTAGTGTCTGTCTAGGCAGGATCAAAGTGACAAGAGCCAAGCACGAGCTTAGACAGGCAGGTCAAGCTTAGACAGGCAGGTCGAGCTTAGACAGGCAGGTCCAGCATAGGCAGGCAGGTCGAGGCAGTGAGTTTATGTTAACATGAGCGGAACCCCTCACAGGGGGAGGGTGAATTCAGCTGCATGACTCAAAAAACATCAGGGTCCCCGATCTGCACATGCACAAAGGGCTGAATTTGTGTTTGTCCTGTTGTGTGTATTTTCAACAGCAGCAAAATAAATAAGCTCTTTTTCTTAAGAGGGAGACTACGCTAGGTTACAAAGATGACGGTGGCTTTTATCTTGTTCTCCGTCTCCCTTAGAGACCTTACTCTGAGAGTGGCGGGTTTCCACGCTGGGATTACTCTACAAAAAGGTCCCCACAGCAAGAAGCTGAGGTCTCCCCCCAAGTCAGTGAAGACCCACTGGCCAGCAGGCTGGCTGGCAGCCCCAGGAGTGTGCCTTCCCGGAAACAGACCCCCCGACCCAGTTGAACCTTCAGATGGCTGAAGCCCCAGCCTCCTAAGAACCCAGGCACTCCCCCAGTCCTGGACCCACATAAACTGAGAACCAGTCCAGCCGCTGAGCTACGCAGCAGTGGGTAATGACCACCAGGAGCCCTCTCAACGCAGGCGGCTACATCTGTTAGCCCTGCTCCTCCAGGGCTGCATGAGGGTGTGGGGAGCTTCCTTGAGACCAGCAGGGTCAGACAGCACCACAGATGGCAGCAGCCCACGTGGGGCAGACGTAGTACAGCGTCCAGAGCTGGACAAGAACTTGTATGTGGAAGGGCAGAGGTCCTGAAGAGCTGGCGTGGGGAGTGAGGGTGGGCAACACAGGGGCCAGACATCAGGCAGAAGTCGGAAGGACCTCCAGCTTCCAGAATTTGAGTCCCAGCCTCTTTTCTGAAGGCGAGGTACGGGTGGACAAGGACACTTCTTGGCGGAATGAAGCAGGGACAGAGTGGCCACAGGACACCCTCAGCCCACCACTCCGGCCGGCACCCTGACCACCCACCTCCGAATCCTCTCGTCCTCAGCTCCTCATCTCGGATGACGGTCGGCGTAATCCCGAGCTCTTTTCCCACTTTCTTAATTTCCTGAGATGGAGAAACCAACACAGAATAGGGTGAACACGGGGTTACTGGGGCCTCGCCAGCAGCGCTGCCGGTCCCTGAGCCCAGGACACAGGCTCAGGCTCCACTCTTGGGGCCTCCTGCCCTCACACCAGGGTCCTTGAGGGGTCTGCGCCCCAGGAGGAGCACATTCCACACCTCAGGAGACTGAAAGCCCTAAAGCATGTGCGGAGGGTGGGAAGGGACAGAAAAAGGGCTTAAAAAACAAGGGTGGGAATCCCAGGAGGAAGTGGGAAACGTTACACGGAGGGGACTGCAAAATATGCACAGATGGTGGAAGGGAAAACTAACGTGCTCAGTAAATTTTCATCCAAATCACTGTAAGAGGAAAAAAAATTAACTGACAGAGAGAAACCCGCGGGCTCCATCTCCACCTCTGCTGGGGGGAGGGGAGGCAGCTCCCAGGAAGCAATCTCAGGAAAGAAGCACAGTTCTCCTGGCCCCTATCAAGTTCCTCCAGCCACGCTATGGGGTCTCGTGGAGTCCCAGTCCAGCCCACCCCTTCCTCCAGGGGTCTGCCCACCCCTCCAGGGGTCTGTCCACCCCTCCAGGGGTCTGCCCACAGCTCCAGGGCTCTGCCCACCCCTCCAGGGGTCTGCCCACACCTCCAGGAAAGTGTCTGTGTTCATCTCATTGCAGGGCGTGTCCACGATCCGGGCTGCCAGCCGCACTCCTTCCGTGGCACTGGTCAGGCACTAGGAAAGATGCAGATCTGCTGGGAGGTGGGTGGGAGGGCACGTCCCTCCTTGGCCTTGGCCCCAAGAACCTACAGTGCCAGAGGCGCAGAGAGCTCCGTGGGAGAGGAGCTGGTCCTCGGGAACCAGTCCCTACAGTGACACACTCCTGAAACCAGGGACACCCCCACCTGTCCTCGTGCTGAAAGGGAGCTGGTGTGGCTGCCACCACCCGGGGTCTCCAGGACAGTAGGCCCACCTCTCTGTCCAAACCACACTTCCTGCTGTTCCTCCTCTTGCCCAGTTAGAAGGGAGCAGGTCCCCTGGGCTCTAAGCTCTACCATCTCTCCTCGACCATCAGGTGCCAGGTCCTCCCGTCCAGGACAAGCCCCTGGGGACCTGGCACCCTGTCTTGCGTCCGCTGGGGAGGAGGTGGCATCTTCATGCTGCATATGAACAGACCTGAAGGTTGGCCCGGCTCGCCACGTCAGCGGCCCCATCCACGGGCCCGCCCGCCGCCTTCCCTTGCCCACCTCTGCTTGACCCGTGCGCTGGGTGCTGGGCCAGCCCGCCTTACAGCACCCGCCCTGTCCACACCTCCAGAAGAGAAGGCAGGAGAGGCAAGGGAAGACAGAGACACCCACTTGCAGCGTGGAGACCTCCATGGGCCCATTGTCTTGTCCCACCAGGAAGAACTCGACTGTGACCGTCTTCTCCGCTCGCCGGGCGGTGCCTGATCGGTGGGAGAACAGGGGGAAGGCCCGGGCCAGGGCGCAGGCTGAGGCGAAGACGTCGGCCCGCTCACAGACCATCTGCACGGGAGACAGAGGACAAGGAGGACGAGCTGGACCTGTGCTGAGAAGAGGCGAACCCCAGGATGCTGAGCTGGGAGGTCAGACCACAGGGAGGGGCCCCAGCCCCTCCCTGCCTCCCAACCACAGAGTGACCAGGGACACTGTTAACAAAAACGGCCACCAGATGTATTTCCTGCTTTGTGAGGCCAGAAGCAGGACCTGGAGGGGCAGAGGCTGGAAATCAGAGTCTGGGGTGGACACTGGGTCTCTCCAGATCTGCCCCGCAGGGTGTGGTGTGTCTGAGGTGGTTGTCAAGTGCTGGCACACAGGCGTTCCTCGCCCGCTGGCCTGTGGTCTATGTCACTGTGGCCACCAGTTCGCAGGTGAGCGGCCACTCACCAGGATACACCGATGGGTCCCGGCGGGCAGGCAGGTGCGCACCAGGCGGGTCACGAAGTGGGCGGCGGAGGGGCTGTTGTGTCTGCTGACCCTCGAGGGCAGGGCGGCCACGGTGGCGCAGTTGAGGTACAGGGGACAGCTGTCCGTGGGGTTGGGGTTGAGCGTGTTCAGCGCGGCCTGCCAGAGCTGAGGGCAAAGGGGAGAGGTCAGAGGTGGCCCTGCACTGGGCCACATGCGTCCCTGCTGGTACCCTGCCACCAGGTGGGACTTCACCGGGGGAGCGGCGGCGCCCGTCTGGGGCAGTTCTGTCCTCACACCGCACACTGTAAACTGGGCTGGCCGTGGACGTGGCCACTTGCACTCAACACGAGGCCTGGGCCCGACAAGGGCAGCAGGGCCGCCGCAGGCCTGGCTCGCAGGTGGCCGCGCTGGGGCCGCTCCCTCCCGGGCCGGGGGCGCGAGCCCGGTGGGTGGGGCCTGGTGACC